ATCAAAAATCGGGGACACGCCCCCCCCCCCCCCCCCAAAAAAAAAAACCTGCTGTAACTCTGAGTTATTTCAAAACAATAAAATCAATTTTTCACTTTTTCACAAATCCTGAAATGAAGAGTTCAGAAAATTCAGCAGCCTCCATACCAGAAGAGGGCGATGTGAGGCTGTTTGAATCTCCCTGAACAACTGTTCCCCCGCTCTCCTCCCTCACTCGCCTCTCTTCAGTGATCACAGCAGCACTGCAGAGAGACATGCCAGCCACTTTGATCATTGCACCAGGGGAGGGGGGGGGGGAGAGGGGGAGAGAGAGAGAGAGAGAGAGAGACATTATCATGCAGCAGGACACCGAGGCTGCGGTTTAAAACATTTGTCTTTTCATCTTCAGCTGATGGAACATCAGGTCAGCCGTACGTCGGAGGGCTGAGGCAGTGAGAGAGCCGAGGTGTGGGGGGGCGAACGACACGATGATGGCGGGAAGTGGAGATAAAGAAGTGAACGGCGGTCGTTAACGACTTATTAAATGAATGAGTGAACGACGGCGCCGGGTGAACGACAGCCAATCAATGAAGAACAACACTGTAACAGGGACATCTACAGAGAAGAAGAAGAAGAAGAAGAAGAAGACGACGACGAAACGACCGACCCGGTTCTTATCGTCCCGTCGCCTCCAACCGTCCGTGACCCAGAAACACTCACTAACTGCAGGTGAGGCAGAAACAGCAGCTGTTTAATGTTTGGGCTGCAGGAGGACACCATCGGCCTCAGAGCCTCCGAGCAGAAAAAAAAAACAAAAAACAAACAAAACAAAAAACAACAACATGGAAACTGTTCAGTGGCTAACAAAAAAAGAAAAGAAAAGAAAATTAAATAAAAAAATAACGTAGGAGAATAAGGAGAGGAGGAAAACTTTGGTTGGAGATGTTTCATACATTCTCCTATTTATTATTATTCTTAAATAATAATAATAATAGATCTTTTTTTTGGTGATGATTAAATTCTTTTTATTCTTCTTTTTTAAATGTTTTGTTTAAATGACAAAAAAGTTTTTTTTTGTTTTCGTCACAGATCAGTGTCTTACTGGTTTATTTCCACTAAACGCGCTTCTTCCTGTTTGTATTCGACTCTACTTTAAATAAATGTAAATGATGAAAAGTGCAGTTGTTCTACACAGGTCTGAATGGTGAAGTATCCAGACGGAATCACCCAAAGTCCTGAAGTCTTGGAGGCCTGGTTCCCCCTGGTCCTGCAGAGTCCTGATCCCAGACTTCAAAGATCTGGATCAAGCCCCCACCACCCCCCCCACAAAAAAAAACACCGAGAACCC